GACATCCCCGGGAATGAGAGTCAGGCTGTGCATACACATCATGAAACCCGCAGCCTCTCTCGGAACCCACCAGGTCCCCATTGCCTCGTGTGTCCCTTCTTCCAAGGGGCAGCGCTGCTCTCCCACCACCCCCCCCCCCCCCGAAAAATGCAGCTCTAGGCAAATGCCTTTTTTTGCCTTGTGGTAAATACACCCCTGATCCTGGCATTGCACCCATCGTGGGCGCAGTGCCTTACAGGCTGCATAGTAAAAAAAAAAAAATGATAAATGCATATTTTTTGTTTAACCTGCAAAACAATGTGCATTTATTATTTTATTAAAAGGTGAACTTAGCCTTTAAATATGATATGTTTTCCTTCTGCGAAATGGCATAAATATATCACGTCCTCTGTTATATGTCAGGAACTAGAACTTGACCAACCAGATTACAGTTGCAAGAAAAAGTATGTGAACCCCTTGGGATTACTGGAGTTTTGCATGAATTGGGCCTGCTGAACGTCATCTAAGTCACAACAATAGAAGAACACAGTCTGCTGAACATAATACTACACAAACATTAGATGTTGCCATGGTTTAATTGCACATAACATGTAAACATTCACAGCGCAGGGAGGAAAAAGTATGTGAACCTTTGGACTTAATAACTGGTTGACCCTCCTTTGGCAGCAATAACCTCAACCAAACGTTTCCTGTAGTTGCAGATCAGATGCAGCTGCACAACGATCTGGAGTCATTTTGGACCACTCCTCTTCACAAAACTGTTTCAGTGTAGCAATTTCTTGGGATGTCTGGTGTGAAAAGGTCATGCCACAGCATTTCAATCAGGTTGAGGTCAGGACTCTGACTGGGTCACTCCAGAAGGCATATCCTGCTGCATTGATTTGTTGAATTACTTGTATGCTTTGGGTCATTGTCCTGTTGCACACCCATCCTCTGCGGAAGTTGGCGGACAGATGGTCGTACGTTTTCCTGCAAAATGTCTTGATAAACTCTGGAATTCATTTTCCCATCAATGACAACAATCCGTCCAGGCCCTGAGGCAGCAAAGCAGTCCCAAACCATGATGCTCCCTCTGCCATGTTTTACAGTGGGGATGAAGTTTTGATGTTGGTGTGCTGTGCCTTTTTTTCTCCACACATAGTGTTGTGTGTTCTTCCCAAACAACTCAATCTAGGTTTCATTTGTCCACAGTATATTTTGCCAGTAGTGCTGTGGAACATCCAGGTGCTCTTTTGCAAACTTCAAACTGTGCTGCAATCTTCTTTTTGGACAGTAATGGCTTCCTATGTACTCCATTCTTGTTTAATGTTTTCCTTTGTTGTGTCAACAAAAATGTTAGCATGTGCCAGAGATTTCTGTAGGTCTTTAGCTGGGGATTCTTCTTTACCTCATGCAATTCTGCGCTGTGCTCTTGCAGTCATTTTTAAGTGGACGCCACGCCTAGGGAGAGTGCAACAGTGCTAAAATTTGTAGACAGTCTGTCTTACCATGGACACATGCAACATCAAGGCTTTTGGAGATACTTTTTGTAACCCTGCCAGCTTCATGCAAGTCAACAATTCTTGATGTAGGTCTTAGAGCTTGGTTCACATCAGACAGTGCTTCTTGAAACCAGTAAACCCAAAACAGGTGTGTGTTTTTTTAGGGCAGGACAGCTGTCAGCAACACACCCAATATCATAACTGATTGGAGTGGTTGGCTCCAATTATCTGGGAAAAGTTTAAGCCTAGGGCCTCTGCACGTGAATGTTTACATGTTATGTGCAATTAAACCATAACATCACAGTATTATGTTCAGCAGACTGTGTTCTTCTATTGTTGTGACTAGATGTTCAGGAATTTTATGCCCAATAGAAAACTCCACGTAATCCAACACATACTTTTTCTTGATTATGTTCTCAATGCTTCCAGCATAGTGTGGGATGGTAATAATGAAAAATAGCTGCAGAGATAGAGATTAGTGAAAAAGGAGAGGCTCCTTATTGTTTTGCAAAAGGGGACACATTGTTATGCTGCTTGGTTTATCCATTATTTTATGCAGTACGAATACAGAAAAAAAAAAAGTATGATTTTAATTTCTTTCTTTTTTTTTTTTTTTTTTTTCCTTGTATAACATGTATGCTTTAATGTCACAGTATTTGTCAGGAAATGCTTTGCTGCAGAGTGGTCTATTTTTGTTGCCAAGTCAAAGGCAGACAAAAGTCAAAGTAACTTGTCCAAGGTCACAAGTAGCCCACACTGGTTTCAGACTGCATCTTTACAGACTTTTAATGACTCTCTAACCTCTGCTACTCTTTTTCTGCTTGCTGCTGCATGAAGTATAATGTTTTTATGTGCTCTAATAATATACACAAATGTCACAGTACGGTATACTGTACAGAAAGAAAAAATGTATGTTTTAGACAGAATAATCTGTCATATGGGATTCCATCTGATACAATCGTGTTAATCATTTATATGTTAAATGGTAGAAATGTAGAAGTATTCTTATGTCCTGTATGTCCAGCACTGCAAGACACCCATGATACAGCATCTACAGTTCATGGGCTTGCTAAGGCCTCGTTCACACTGGCAATGGCAAACGTACTGTATGTTTATATGCATTTAGAGGATATAAATGCATGCAATGATTTTTCACTGGTGCCATTCACACTGTGCATTTACTTGCATTATGTGCAGTTCGTTTAGCTATGAAAATAGAATTCTGTGCATACAGGATCAATTTAGAAACTCGAAATTCATGCAAACCCTAAATGCATTTACAAAAAAATAAATAGATAAATGCACATATTTTTGCAGGTAAAAAAAAAATGTATATTATTTTCTTATTTTTTTTCGACAGCAGCCTACAAAGTATTGCACTGACGATCTGTAGATCACAGGTGCAGTGTCGGGCTCCTGCACACTTCCCTCAGCTTTCTGCCCATACATCTGTACAGACTTTCAGTGTGAATGGACCACGAGCACGCTGATCGGCATTCTCGCAGTCCATTGAAACTACAAGTGTGTCTGCCATGGCGGCAAGTAGTAATTGTTGTTTATTAACAGATCTTTGTGAATAATGTGGCTGGAGGGGCGGAGCCCTAAACAGCCACAACGATTTTAAAATGTGGCAGTGGGAGATAGGAACCCTCACCCACTGTCAGTGACGGACTGAAAACTCATGGGGCCCCTGGGCAATAGGGGATCATGTGTCCTTGCCCAAACTCAAAAAAGCCTATGAAAAAGGTACCGGGCATTTCATGGGGCCCCCTACTGACCCCGGGCCCTCGGGCAGTGCTGGAGTTTCCAAATGGTCAGTCCGCCCCTGCCCTCTTTCACAGGGAAGAGGGAGTGAAGGGGAGGGGGTGCTGAACATATGGTGTGTGTGTTTTTATTAGAGAGAAGTGGGGCGATAAGAGGGTGCTGAACATGGTACACCCTAAACATGGGTATAACATGTAACCCGTTCAAAAGGTGAACTTCTCCATTAAGTGCTGATTCACAGTGCTGCGAATTCTGTGTGGATCAGATGCATTCAGAAAAGCATAGATTTGCATGTCAAAAAGCATTATTTCCAATGAGGCCTGTTCACATACATGCGGTGCGAATTTGATGCAGTTGAAAAAAGGGTCCTATGCGGGTGTGGTGAAAATTTTATCTCCTGCCATGCCCAGTCCCCTCAGAAATCACATTCAGTACGCACCTATTACAGCAGAAATATCACCATGATACTGCACTGTAAATCCGCATCAGATTCGCACTGCAGCAGAGTGAAATGTTACTCAAGCAGGAGCATGTAAAGCAGGAAATGGTGATCTGGGAACCAAAAAATGTGTTTGTACTTCCAAACTGACTTGTATTTAGAAAAGCTAAAATCAGGAGCCTCGGCATAAATGAAATCTAAAGGGCACAGCCGTATCATTTTAAAGGATATTTTTTTATTAAAATTCTCCCAGGTCTTGCACTTCACTACACGTAACTACACGTCACTTCAGAGGATTCCTGCACATGCATGTTGATATTTCCGTTCATTCATATGGAAAAAACCCATTATTTGTACCAATGGTGGACAACCTTTCTTTAGAATTGAATATAGATTGCACTGGCTATTTTTTAACTTCTAGGCCTCGTGTACCTTGGGTGTAAAAAATGCTGCTTTAAGTGCATTTGACATATTTTTCTTCTGCCTCTAAACGCCCCTCCATGTTAACCGATGTGTCCATGCACACACAAACATTATAGGCAGGTAAAACACCATCACTTGTTCAGGAGAGGAGCGCTTCAATACCAAAACCGCCCAATGTGACTAAATGCACTGAAACGTTAGGTGTGTTTAGTGCTTGAGTACTCATTCATCTTAGTGGCAAGAATACATTTATAATCTGACCAATTGATTGAATGAGCACCCAAACATGTTTGCAAAACGTAGTTTTAGGAGCGTTTTTACACTTCCTTTCTCCTGCCAGGGGAAAAGGTGTTCAGAAGCAAAGACCCAGTGTGCCTGAGGCCTTAGACTCTTTCTGATTGAAACTTGGTACAGAATTGATTAAAGAGACTGGTAAAGATAGTGGTGAATCACTGTTTTGCCTCATTCAGTTTGTGCGTGCGTGTGAATTTCAGCTTGAGCTTTTGATCTCTGTGAACAGGCTGCTCTCAGGAAAGCAGAGAAGCACAGAAGATGTTAAACAAATCCTAGAGTCTCTTCTGCTGGCAAAAAATGCAACTATAGAATATTGTTATGCCTCAGTAAAAATATATGATCTGTTTGTTTAGCTGTCATCCATACTTTTGCTTTAGAGGTTTTGTGCAGCTAGGATGGCCAGTGTTTATAGCATACCTCTTCATAGGGTATGTATAGGAGCCTATAAGTACTTTTTCCAGAATGCTTCAGTCTTGCAGAGAAGTGAATCATTTCTCTGTATGTTTAATGCATGTGTCAGCTTTATAGGTAATTGAATGGTAAATCTATTTACTATAAGCAGCTCTGAAATAAGTAATAAACATTTGTTATATTTTTAGGAGGTCACAGCAAGCAGTCGTCACTATGTAGACAGACTCTTCGATCCCGATCCTCAGAAAGTTCTGCGTGGAGTTGTGTAAGTACCATCATTTATGATTTATAACGTACAAATTCAGAAGATACGCCCACATTTTAGAGTGGGAAATGTTTTCATTTTATGCTGTGAAGCTTTAAAGCGCTATTAAACCCAAAACCAAAAATGATATATTGCAGCTTACCAACCCATGGATGTGATAGAAGCATTATTTTTTTGTTTTTGTTTTTTGGGGTTTTTTTGTTTTTGTTTTTTTTTCTCTTTTTCACTTGGAGATCTACCAATAACACACCTTCTGTATTAGAGTGCCTACGCCAGGCATGCTTAACCTGTGGCCCGCAACCTCAAACCTTTGGCAACCCACACAGCCTCCTTTGGGTGCACGCTACTCTACTGAGTCTACTATGTTTGCCAGCCCTTCATAATCCTGGCAGCTGTCATACACAAGCTGATATTGCTGCTGGCTCTCCACCCTTCTCTTTCCTTCCTAACACACAGATGTGGGGTGAGGAGCCTTTACCCGAGTGGATTGCATCAAGTGGTATCCATACAGTAGGTTTGAAGGTGGATTCTCACAGTTGTGTGCTTGGTTTTATTCCAGTAGCATGCGGGTGCATGATGTGTCATTTTATCTTTGCTTAACCACTTGCCCTCCAGAGGATTTACCCCCCTTCCTGACCAAGCCTTTTTTTTTTCTATTCGGCGCTGTGCTATTTCAACTGGTAATTGTGCAGTCATGCAATGCTGTACCCAAACAAAATTTATGTCCTTTTTTCACACAAAAAGAGCTTTCTTTTGGTGGTATTTGATCATCTCTGGGTTTTTTTTTTGGGGCGCTATAAACAAAAAAAGACCGAACATTTTGAAAAAAAAACCAAAACAATATTTGTTACTTTCGGCTATAAAAAATATATAGTAAACTCAAAGTTAGTCATAAATTTTAGTCACAATGTATTCTGCTACATGTCTTTGGTAAAAAAAAATCTCAATAAGTGTATATTGATTGCTTTGTGTGAAAGTTATAGCGTCTACAAACTATGGTATAGATATTGCAATTTACACCATTTTTTGCTATACAGTACTGCACTAGTTTAACTGACAATTGCGCGGTCATGCAATACTGTACAGAAATGAAATTTATGTCCTTTTTTCCCCACACAAATAGAGCTTTCTTTTGGTGGTATTTGATCACCTCTGTGTTTTTTTTTTTTTGCTCTATAAACAAAAAAGACCTACAATTTAAAAAAACCCTGATATTTTCTCATTTCTGTCATAAAAAATATCCAATAAACTCAAATTGGATCATAAATTTAGGCCAAAATGTATTTTTCTATATGTCTTTGGTAAAAAAAAATCCCAATAGGTGTGTATTAGTTTTTGTGAAAGTTGTAGCGTCTACAAATGGTGGTATAGATATTGGAATTTACGCCATTTTGTGCTATACGACACTGTGCTAATTTAACTGACAATTGCGCGGTCATGTATTACTGTTTATAAATGAAATCTATGTCCTTTTTTCACACAAATAGAGCTTTATTTTGGTGGTATTTGATCACCTGTGCACTTTTTATTTTTTGCGCTATAAACAAAAAAGACCAGAAAATTTTGAAAAAACCCAATACTTTCTCATTTCTGTCAAAAAAAATATAAAAAAGTTAAAATTCATGATAACTTTAGGAAAAAATGTATTTTGCTACATGTCTTTAGTAAATAAAATCCTAATAACTGCATATTAATTGGTTTGTATGAAAGTTATAGCATCTACAAACTATGGTATAGATACTGGAATTTACACAACTTTTACTTTCTGACGGCCTATCACATTTCTTGAGGTGCTAAAATACCAGGACAGTACAAACACCCCCAAATGACTACTTTTTGAAAGTAGACACCCTAAGATATCTGCTGAGAGCCCTATTGAGTCCAAGGAAGATTTATTTTTTTCCAAACGTTTTTGGAAAATGACAAAAACTATTTTGTTTTTATTTTTATTTTACACAAAGTTGTCACTTAAATGATATATTGCTCACACATGCCATGGGTATATGTGGAATTACACTGCAAAATACATTCTGCTACTTTAACCGAGTATGGGGATACCACATGTGTGAGACTTTTTGGGAGCCTAGTCACATACAGGAGCCTGAAATCCAATGACCACTTTGGAAGCCTGAAGGTGCGTAACTTCCTCATTTCACTTCCTCACTACCTATCACAGTTTTGGAGGCCCTGAAATGCCAGGATAGCACCAACCCCCCCCCCCCCCCCCCCCCCCCCCCCCCCCCCCCCCCCCCCCCCCGCCCCCCCCCCCCCCCCTTTTTGGAAAGTAGTCATGATGGGTTTTGCAATTTTTTTATGTCACATAATACTCACGCGTTTTTTTTCTAACGCTAATTTTTTGAAGAAAATGCAATTTTTTACTTTTAATGCACAAAAACACAAATATAGTGTCCAATTATTTGGTAAAATATAAAAGATGATGGTATGCCGATTTAATAGATACCAAACATGACATGCTTTAAAACTGCGCACACCCCATACAATGGCGACAAACTGCATACATTTCTAATATCCATAGGCGACGCTTTAAAAGCCACCATTTTAGATTTACAGAGGAGGTCTAGTGCTAGAATTACTGCGCTTAATCTGATGTTTACGGATGTAGATGTAGACTCTAGATATCTCCTCTGCCCTCACCAAGATTGGTGTGATCAGACGCTTTCCCAATTTACAAATGGTGCTGTTTATATCCTGTGAAACTGAAGCGATGAAATGCTCGTAGCGTCTGATTTCTTAGACTATAGAGATGATTGGCGCCATTTCGGTCTCCAATCAACTCTGTGGTCAGCTGGCAGAAACACGAGCTGCATGCTCAGGTTCCCCCAGGCCGTGGAAGGCAGCAGGGAGGGGGGCATCTTCTCCTGCTACTTGTAAAAGCAATCCTGCAACTAATTACCCACTAGGATTGCTTTTACATGAAAGCCGATCGCTGGCTGAAAAAAATTATACTAGGACGAGGCCTCATCCTGGTGTAACCACTCAAAGTCCAGTGATGTACCAGTACGTAGCTGGTCATTGTTGGGTATATATGTTTTTTTTTTTTTTTTTTTTTTTTTAATGTAGTCTGTGGGCTGAATGGAAAAAAAAGAGAAGAAATCTCTGCCAGGAAAAAATGTGGTGGTATGCCCACCATTAGAATATACCACCCTGCATCCACCCACTTCTAATGGTGGGCATACATGAAATGTTCTTTTTTTTTTTTGTCATTCAGCCCATGGGCTGAACGAAAAAAAAAAAGAACCAAACAGATTCCTCTATTCACATCGGTTGATGTGGATCAAGAAACCTATGGCAAAAATTATTTTTTCAAATATATACCGACGCATAGTGGCCACCCCAGGCACCCATACTTCGGCATATATGCTCTTTTTTAACTGCGGATGAAAAATCTCATCCAACAGCACTGCACACACTTACTTATGTATATTCTAAGAGCAAGACCCTGTTGCTGTCAGCATAAATAGGTTGATGCTGCAACTGAACGGCATTCCTGCAAAGAAAACCTCAATGGGTAACAATAAAACAGCAAAACTGTAACAGTAGAACAGTAACTTGACAACAACAAAAAAAATACTATTTTTTTGTTTTTAAAAATTTTTGCTTTTTATTTCTTAAGTTTTTTTTATTTTTTTTTTTAACTTGAACTTAAACAGATTGTAGAGTCTCTCAAAATGCGATAGCCAGTTTCCTGACTACCTAACACCTTTTGAGACCCTGTGCAAATATGTGCCCTGAACTATGCTGTGCTGTATCCTATACTAATACTCCACTAGTGTGTGGTAGCGATGGAAGCAGTCCTTGAGGCAGAGACCAGGTTGGCCAGGACAGGAGGGACAAAAAAGCGGGTGTCACGCTTTTTTCCATGTCTGCAACAGACCCATCTTTTTTGGGGTGTCCTTTGTGCTGGCGTACCAGGAATGGCATTGGTAAAATGCCTCTCATGCATCCAGCTAATTGCATCTGGGGTGGGGGTTTGGGCCATGGCTCCTTCTGGATACAAAAGGGCCGTGATGATCTCTTCCTGGAATTTTAGGAAGGATCCACTACGTCCAGTTGCTTTGTAAAGCACAAAAGCATTATATAAAGCCAATTGAAATAAATAAACAGACACTTTTTTTTCTTCATCATCTGGTCGTTGAAGTCCATCCCTCCCATGATAAGGTTATAGTCGTGGACACAGAGGGGCTTCTCAAAAACACCAGCTGCTGTGGCAATTTGGATGGTCGTGTCTGCGTGAATGTAAGACAGGACGAAATCATCCCGTTTGTCCTTCCACTTCACTGAATGCAATTCCTAATTTCTCAAGCAGGCTTTTTCCCTCTTTCTAAGACGGGTATTTATAAACCGTTGGGGGAAGCCCCAGTGATTAGGTCATTAGGTCGTACGGTGCCACATCCACCAATTCCAAGATTGTACAAATGTCTAAATAGTGGCTCGCTTGAATAAACATTGTCCACGTATAAGTGGTACCCCATATGAAAAAAGGATCACACCGAGTCCCAAACTATCTTGCCACTTCTCCCCATGTAGTCTGGGCATCCGGGGGGGCTCCACGTGACTTTTCCCTTGTAAATCCGAAACTTCTATGTATAGCCTGTTGCCCTTCCACAGGTCTTATACATCTTGACGCCATATCTGGCACGCTTGCTGGGGAGGAATTGAATGCAAGGTGGCCAGAAAAGCTAATGAGAGAGTCATCAACACAGATGTTTTGCTGGGGAGTATAGACATCTGCAAATTCTTGGTTAGGGTGATTTACAAGGGGCCGAATTTTGTGGAGCCGTTCAAATTCAGGGTCACCCCGGGGACGACAGTGTGTTGTGGTTGAAATGCATAAAACACATTATACTCTCATATCTATGCCTGGTCATGGCAGCAGAGAACACGGGCATATGATGAATCGGGTCTGTGGACCAATACAACCGCAATAATTTTTTTTTTTACCAATGCCCATGTTGAGGGTTAGGCCCCCAAAAACCTTA